ATGCCCTCGCGATAAGCGTCTTACCGCAACCACTCGCTCCGTATAGCAGTACTCCTCTACCGGCACGAATCGCACAGTTACGGAACAATGACGAATACTGATATTATGCAATTATTATTATCATTGCCACGAAGAGATTTAATAAATCCTGAACAAACAACACTATCAATTGCTCACCTTGATGGGCCATACAAAAACTTCCTCAAGCAGTTTTTTCACATTGTGCATTCCACCGACGTCATTCCACTGCACTTTTATAGCATTATTAGGTTTTTCGATTTTTGAAGAAATATTTCGAAAATCTCGTAATGCCCTTTCAACACACTCAGAACGAATGCATTCGGAATCTGAATGAACTAATCTGATCATTCATAATGACAAAACATGATTTTTTTCATTTAATCACCTTAATTACGGAATAAACAAATGGGGCTACGGTGATCGCAAGTGACCAATAAGGAACACTCGAATTGACGAATAGGAATCAGACCATGATAAGTAAGATGTGGAGTAGTAAAGAACACTCTAATGTTATAAGCAATGACTTCAAATTATACAGAAACAATTCGGTGGGATTCATTCACCGAATTATTCCATTGAGTCGGTAACGACGAACCTGTACTAAGTGTCTCTAAAATAATTCGTTGCGATAACTTCTTCAAATCTCCAATCACAAAATTCTCTGTTTTCATTCGGAATTCCTCCAAATCGCAACAACATTTCAGCGCTTCACTGCTGCAAAATACTTCCAATGCTTCACTGCGATCAATCTGCAATACAACTTCATTGTACCATCTTCAAATTCATTTCACTCACTGCAAAATCGTTAGATGTACCTATTCGATCCACTCCAACACTACTTAATTGGTGATTATGTAAACTGCTGCTATTCTCATCACTATTATTTTGATTGTGTTTACTATTTATGATTACCGCTATTATCCTGATCAATCTTATCCCCATTGTGGACATTCCCTTTGTTATCATCACTAGTTTCATGTTTATCCCATTATTATCATTAGTCTTATGATGGCAATCAATATTACATCCGAGTTA